AGTTTATTAAAAAGACATTCGTTGTTTAAAGCCGTCACTTATAAAATTTAAATAATTAAAAAATAAATAAGATTAATTATAAAAAAATCTTATATATTATTTTATTTATTAATTATATAATCTTATATATATTTGAATAATATAAATAAAAATTTATACAAATTTAATCTATACTTTAAATTAAAATGTTAATAGTAACTGTTACTTTATTTAAAAGCATTTAGTAAAAATGATAGTAAAGATAAAAGTTTCAAAGTTATTTATTTTTGATGTAATTAAAAATAATTTTTTTCAGCGCATTTTTAAAATGATAAAAACCGTGGTCAAATTATCAAAATGAAGTATTATTGGTTATATGATGGCGTGCAATGGCACGCTTTCCTGACCAAGCCTGGTTCTACCTGATATAGCTGTCAAACAGATTGATCCATTGCTTGACATTCGTATCACTTCAGCCTTTGTATCTATAGTGATTTCCTGTTTAAACTCTTCTACTGCTTGTGGTCCGGACAACATACCTGTTATAGTCTTACAGAAGTGTTCTCTGGAGCTGTCGTCTATCCTTTCAAAACTATTCAACAAGTGGTTATCAGAGTTCATCTTTTCCAGCCTGTTGGAAAGCAGCATCTATTATCCCTATTTTTAAAACTTCTGGAAAGCAATCTGATTTGTCTAATTACACTCCCATTAGTCTTTTTTTTCTATCATAAGCAAGGCTTCTGAATCTTTAATTAAAAAACACTTAATCTCTCATGGGTTCATGAGCACTTAATCTCAGGGTTCCTCAAGGTTTATTCCTTGGCCCTATACTCATTTTTTTTTTTTAAATTTACATTAACGATCTTAATGATCACCTTAGATGAGTGAATATCTTCCAGATATTCTCTCTTGTTCGCTGATGATACTACCATTTATTCTTGTCACGATAAGAAGCCAACTCTCTCTGATTGCTTGGAGGGGGCATTTGAGCTTGAAAAGGATCTCACTTCTGCTTTCAGCATGGGGCTCACACTGGCTGGTGAACTTTAAATCAGACAAAACACAATTTTTTTCAGCCAACTATTATCGCAATAATTTAGACCTTCCTATATTTATAAACAGTAATGTACTCGATGAGCCATCTACCCTTCATCTTCTATGATTAACTCTTACTTCTGATCTTTCTTGGAAACCATATATCAAATCTGTTGCAAAACTAGCATATGCTAAAGTTGCATCTCTTTATCGAGCTCGACACTTTCTTACTCTGGATTCTATTCTCTATCTCTATAAATCTTAAATCTGGCCTTGTATGGAATACTGTTGCCATATTTGGGGCGAATCTTCTAATGATGCCCTTTCTCTTTTAGACAAGGTGCAAAAACGCATTGTAAACATAGTTGGACCTGCTCTTGCAGCAAACCTTCAACTATTATCACATCGTTGTAATGTTCTTCTCTTTCTCTTTTCTACAAATACTAATATATAATAAATAATATATAAATAATAATAATGGGCACTGCTCTAAGAGCTAGCGTCTCTTGTGCCATCTACTAAAATTCACTCTCGTGTTAAAAGCCATTCAATTAAGTCTCATTTCTGTGACTGTTCCTAAGTGCTCTAAAAACTCTTATTTGTCTTTTTTCCTCGAACATCAGTTCTTTGGAATTTGCTTCCTTCATCTTGCTTTCCTGATTCATATAATTTGCAATCTTTAAAGTCGTCTGTCAATCATTATCTTGGTCTACAATCTTCATTTTTCTCTTCCAGTAACTTTCAACACTAATTAGTGGGTGCTTGCAGCTTTGTTGGAAGCAAAGATAGTTAAAAAAAAAAAAAAGTAAAAAATTTGTTTATATGATTTTTATTTTTGCTTCTGTATTTAAATCTAGTAAAATTAAATATTTTTAAAGATAACAGGTATGCTTGCAGTCACCACCTGTCTTTTCTGACATTAAACATAAACTGGACTATCTATACAATTAGTTTGTTTTTGAGGACAAATCATTTCTAAACAAAGTTGTAAGATTTTCCTGATTGCGTTTTTGGTAAGCAGTTATTTTTATATTATTTACTAGATAAAATAAATCATAAAATTTACAATAGATCTGGCCTGCTGTGAGTTTTGATCCAGCCTGCGAGACATTCTAAAAAACCTAATTAAAGAATTTGGAGCATCTCAAGGTCGGAATTAATGTGGTTGTTATTTATAAATACAGTAGTTTTAAGCACTTTGCATTTCTTGTTGTTAAATGAAGGTTGTCAAAACATATATAATTAAAAAGTTAATTTGTTTAGTTTTCTATCGATATATGATTTGTTATACTTTCAAGGAGATTTACTTTTTAATTTTCAATTAGTTTGCAATGTTATGTCATCCTAATTCTAAAAAAATGCGCGCAAAGTTTTTTTTTAAAACTGCTATTAGGGAATGGGTTAAGTTTACCGAGCGAAAAGTAAACGAAAATGATGTCTGATGGAAAGAAAAGTAGATAGAGAGGGTCGCCAGTTTCAAGAAAAA